TGCCATTAGGGTGAGAGGATCCAAGTCCCCCAGCAGCTCTGTGAAATGATTACCTACAGATGTCTGGGACATTATTGTGACCTTTTCCTCCTTGTGGAAAATGAAGCACACATCTGTCACCTATGTGGCCACAAAACATCATTCACCTGCCATGATACCGTAAGTTTGATATGCATGTTCTTCCAGGATTTCTACAAACGTTTAGAGGGGAGAAGAAGATAGAAGAAATAGAAGCTATTAAACAAAAACAGCCGAGAAACATTTATAATATAACTTGTGCATTTAAATGAGCCCATTTGTTAAGAAAAACTTTTGGACTAATTTATTGATAAGGGTGTTTTTTTTTTCAAACTTTAGTTGTAAGTTGTTAATCATTTCAAGATAAGATGAAGGAACACAATCCTTTTATTCATGGTTTCTGGAGTGTGTGACCTGCATTGGGAAATGTGTGTTCATCTTATTAAATTCTACGCACACTGGCTTGGAGCCCAAAATCTTTTGTATTACTCATAAAAAAATAAAACAGGAAAAACAGGAAAAATGCAAATATGCCAATATCTGAAAATTACATCTAATTCTTGTTTTTGCCCTACAGAATATCAAAATAGCGTGACAAAGATTAACAAGGTGTACCCCCAGGGTTGGAAAACACACACTGGAATCAACAACTTCAGACATTTTTTTTTTTTTTTATCAAAGATGCAGTTCCCCAATGACTGTCAGCAATGTTGGATGTTTGTTAGAACATCAGGTTGTACTTAAAACAACACATATTTGGTTTTTATAACAGGAGATATGCTCTGACTGATGCTGAAATTCTCAGATCTGCTTGGAGATAGATAGATACGGTCTCTTTCATTAGGTAAACACTGCAAAATGGCACATGAAACTACTGCAAACAATGTAAAATTCATGATTAAGGAAGTAGAAATAAGTCTTGATTATATATGTACTGCACATTCGAGTTGGCGTGTTTTTTGTGTAAATGTATGCTATTTTTTTTCTTTTACAATAGGATGTTTAACACATTAATTTTGCCGTGATGGGGTGGAGTGGCCAAATGCTGGACATAATGAGGACATGGAAGCTAAAACTGGAGACATCTGTCAAATTACAGTACATGTTTCCTACATCTGACAGATCCTGAACTACATTGTAAATGATTTTCCTGACCCATGATTATTAAAACACTAAAGTCGATCCCCTTACATCTCCACCAACAGCCAGCTATTTGAAAAGCACCACTTCAGAAGTCTGTAATTATCAAAACATAACATGCACCCATCAATTTGGCCTTTCCCTTACAACCAATTAGGGAAGCTGGCGATGTCATCTAGACGGGGCGGCCATATTTTCCCCATCGGTTATTACTCAAAGATCCAGCACAGTTATAAATGACCTCACAATGAGATTGATTCCCATGCTGCTCGGTGAAATTCAGAGTCATTTCCTAGTTGCAGGGGCTCTAAAGCCTGTAGAAATTTAATTTGACTGGAAAAAAATTACATGACTGGAAGTAAAATATTACAGACATTACCAGAAAATTCAGAAAATGTTTTATGACAAGAAGGTTTGTAATGATACTTTAGTTTTGAATGATTTTACCACACATCCATCATGCTTTAAAGAAAAATAGACTTTTATGTTTTGTTTTATCTAACCTAACCCTAAAACTGCTCAGTTAAATTAGTAGCACTTATATACAACTTACTGTTACTGTGACAATATGTAACCCGAGTTTTACTAGGACACCGACACCATTTCAGGATATGAATACAGAAAAACATACAATATTATATTATTGTGTGACGAGATATCACTGTTAAATGCAAGAATAATCAACATTTTTGGAAATAAAGAAAAACTAAGAAACCATGGCTGTTTTTGCCATTGGCTAAACTGCTCCTGGCTCAGTTTTGAGTCAGTGCCACACAGTTTATGAGATCCAGGGATCAGACCGCACAGACACATTGAACTTATGTATAGTATAAAGAATAACATGTATAACAAAAGAGAAAAGCACGCACAAAAACTGAATATGTTTTGGCCTGAAAGATCTGTCCGTTTCTTGAATCAGAAGTCTGAATTTTCATGCTGCTTCTTCAGTGGAGGAAGTCACAAGGCTAAATAAACATTAGTCCACTGCACACCTCAAAATGTGAAACCTGGCAAACCAACCAGGCAGTGTTTTATGAAAGGTGATAAATAGAGTTCTTCCTTCACTTTTTATTTGTGGAATATGGCCTTGAAAAGTTTTTTTCTTTATTTTTCTGTTTGCACTTTACTGAAAAGACTAAAATACTAAATAATATTGTCTTGGTACACCAATATTATTCATTTCCTTACTACTTTTTTTTTATGGACTACTGCTGCTTTGCAAATTGCTGATCCCCCTACTGTGTGTTCACTTTCAGTCATTTTGAACTAATAAAAACAAAAATGAGTCAATCAAAAGGATGATAGCATTTCAACCTTTTAATAACATAATTAGATTTGAATGTTTTAGAGTTCACATGGAGCACATAATAGTCACTTTTCAGTGACTGAAAAATTCAGCAATTAATTTCTAACGTTTTTGCAATGTTTTCTTTGGTGGTGTAGCAGTTATTAAGTAGGAAGATAAGACTTTCTTTAGAGGTTATTCATTAGTGTTTTGAACAGTAATTTAAATATTTGAGTGTGCCGTTTTTTAGAGATGACTCATCTATGTAGGATGTAGAAATAATTTACATCACGTTTGGTCCAGGCAACCAAACCAAATAAATCTTTTCTTCAAGTGGCACAGTATAAACACAATCATACATACCCGACGACAGGGCTTTGCTTATATATTTCTAATGGATGTTAAAACAACACACATTCAGAAACTATACACATAATGTCACAATAATCCTGTAGTTTAGGCTGGTTTGGGTCAACGGGCGGAAAGTGTCTTGTGCTGGATCGGAGCTGTGAACATTCATGCACACACACACGCGTGTCCACAAACACATCAACAGCTAGACCGACTGCCCATGTGGTGTCACATCTTGTGCCAGTGAAATGAGGTTTCTTCTGCGAAGCAGCGCTACTCTGACGAAGGCCTGTTTAATATGATACAAACCACACCGAGAGCCGGCGGGGCCGTGCAGCAGCATCTGGCATCACCGCAGACGCCTGCCAGGGCGCACATTAGATCAGAATAATTAGCCGGGACAGCAGTGTGAGATGGACAAATGAGAACCTCCTCCTGGGTGACCTTATGGCCAAATGGTGTATGAACAACACAGCTCATTGTCTGATAAGACGCTTTTGGAATTAGGAACGGGTGAGGGTTCAAGGAAGATCAGTCAACTGCTGGGCTGTGAGACAGTGAGTGTAAATGAACCCATCCATGCAGAGGTTGAATGACAAAGGCAAAAGTGGAAACTCACAGGATATTCGGTACAATACCTTTACACATTCCTAACCCACTCCATCAAACACTACGTGTTGCAAAAGTTGGTTAGTCAGTGACCATTAAACTCTGTTTTGCTGAATTTGTTACTGAGGGAGGGCTCAAAATAATAGTTAGTTTGTTTATGCCCTTTTTTCCAGAGTGGCACGTGGGCATAGAGTGAAAGATTAAAAAAGATCCCAAAATTATTTCTCTACGTTCTCCATCTAGATTTTACTTTATTGTATTTCATGATCAAGAATATTAAGATAGCAAGATGCCATGATGAAATTTAGCCATGCTAACTTGTATTGTACATTTCTAAACAAACAAAAAACACTCTTATGCATCATCTGACCGTCAGAATCATGATGTGAAACCTTTAAACCAATCATTCTAAACGCTTGGGTAACCAGAGAAGCCGCTTGCATGGACTCTGTGAGTTAATTTGACTAATTTACTGTCTGTATATAAGAAAAATTGCTTTTGTCTCTCTTTGTTTTACTTTCTCGTTCACAGATCCTGAATATTGTAGCTTGAAAGTCAGTTAGAAATGGAAAAATTTATTTTTGATGTTCAGTACTTGAAAATACACAAACAGCGGTTGCAAATGTAGAGATAAATAACTTCGGTGTACAGACACTTAAAAACATCGATGAGGAAATGGCAATGAAAAAATAACTAGAAATGAAAAAAGCTGGCTAATACTACAGTACAGTGACAAAAGCAGCAAACGAAGCTCGTAGGACCTATATTCCCTTTCATGAAGCCAATAAATATAAAATATATGATGCAAAAATAGATTGATACCAGGCCTTCCTGAAGCAGGAAAATGTGGGATACTGAGAAGGATCAAATGGAGACTTTTTCATAACAATAGGTAACAAATTCATCTTGTGCAACTTCTTCTCCTTAGGGATCTCTGGTGAAAAAACAAAGGCAAAGTAATACAGAAAAGAAAAGCAAATGAAATATTTACACATAAGGCAGTCTCACGCGGCCCCATTTTGCTGTTGATTAAATCTGCGATTGCTGCAAAAAAAATGGAGAGAAAATAATACTATTAATTAAAAACATCTTTTTTTGCCTCTATGCTAATATTGGAGAAGCTGAGGGACTAAGGCAGCAGGAGCCAGCTCACTTATAGGCATCAGAAATGCATTTGAACAGAGGAGCTCCCATTTTCCACACCACTTTTCTGCTCACACTGATTTAACTTTTTATAAAAAAGTACAAAAAAATAACAATTAGGAAGAAGAGGCAAAAATGTCTCAAGGTCCATGTCTCCAAGGAGCTAAGAAGTCTTCAGAGCTCATAGGTAATCATCCGTATCTGCTCTGGTGAATTTTCTGTCTCTCTAAAATGTACTCAGAGCACACCATTAGTATTCCACAGTGGCCACGTCCATTCAGAAGATTTATTAGATTCCAGTCTCTTCTGCTTCATCCAATTAGTGGAAGGACAACAGGATAACGGCAGAATCTTGTTAGCTTCCAGTAAAAGTGGATGAGATACAGAACGGCATCGGGGGTTCATTTCCAACATCCGGTGCGCCTCCTTTGGTGGATATAATGCATGTGTCAGGTCAATCCGAGTCATCTTTGCACACACAGGCGCACTCTTCATGGTGCTCCAAGGGCACATCAGTCATGGTCTTCTGCAGACCCCTCCCGCCACTTCGATGTTTCAACAGTAGAACCTGTTGGAAAAGGAACCGTGCAAGCGTTAACTGCTACAGTAGACCTTAACATTTAAGTTATAACAAGCTTCAAGAGCCATAATTTGTTTAAAAGGGTTTCATTTTCTGGTTTAAATTTCCAGAAATTATAACAGATAATTATTCATCTTCATGAGTATAATTTGTTCGATTAAAACAAATGCAGGAATTCTGACACCTCTCAATTCATTTTTGATTTTGCAAGATTATTATTAAAAGGAACAGATCAAACACCTCTGCACACATCTAAAAGAAAGGAAGCGAAGCTACGAAACACGTGAAGCAAATGAAGGGCATGTCTAAACCGTGCTCCACCACCTGACAGCCGACAAAGACTTGCTATTGGCCGACTTAATCCAGCGGAAATCTTTTAGAGCAGGAAAAGGGTCCGAAACTTTGAGCCAAAGCAAATAAAACATGAGCTTTCACATTCATCAGCTTCCCAAGCTAAACAGTTTAAGCTCTCTTACGTTTTCAAGCCATCCAGATGACTGGCATTACACTTTTATCTGAGTTGAAGTATGGACGTCCAATCAAATTAGGCGGTACATGTATATGCGTTATATTTAGAGAGCTTTGCTGTTACAGTGATCTTTGCTCAATTTATGAAATTCCATTGAGTTACTTTTTGTACGTGTAAAAGGAACCAAACAAAACGGTTAGCCTTTTGCGAAACAGTTCCGAAAGTGAGCCTATAGCCATTTAATGCAATGAATGAGGAGTCTGAAACCCTAAAACCTAAATATTTTTGTGTTTTTTTTCATAATTCATAGATGTATTCATAATCCATAAAATAAAAAAAGAAAAAACACAAGGTTTCTCTAACACATTTTTTTTTCCTGTTGCGTTTACCTTTGAAATTGATAGATATTAACATCTGGGCCTGAAGGTGAACAGCTTGAGCTCCAGTGGAGTCTTCCCCTGTTGCTAAATGTGCTAAACAATCTTTTTTTTCTGACAGCTTCACACAATGACTTTCAGACTACTTTTTCGGTGGTCTGTAGAACAGAAGTGGAATGCTCCAGTTTTGAGTTTGGGTTTAAACTGGGTGGGAAGTGAAGCACGTCTGAAAGACACACTTCATCACTCCGTGTCGAAGGGATGATTACCTCGTGGTACTTCTTTGTGACCCTGGCGGGAAGGCACTGGCAGTCGTAGCAGCGGTTGGAGCAGCAGGCACAGTTGCCGCCGCAGCGCTTTACGAGGACGCAGCTTGGCCAGAAAATGGCGTCCGTCCTCCGGAGCTCCTCGCGTAACGACACTGAGTAGTTGCGTGGCGTGCAGCTGTAGAGTCGAACTTCCTCCCTCAGCTGGTTCAGATCAGCTCCTCCTGAAACAGAAGCAAGAATCAACTGAGCTCATATGAAAATATTCACACTCATGGACAATTAGAAAGAATAGATTAAGCATAGAAGTCAATATGAGTTTATCTTCAATCAAGTTTGAAATTCTAAGAGTGAGAATTCATCAGATGCTTGCTGAATTGTAAACGACCATTTAGATTTTTATACATCTGTATTTAACTATAATGTTTGTTTTTTTTTAAAAAGGAAAAAAGAAGATTTTTAAAGCAGCCTACCTCTGGCCTTCTTGTTGTGGATGAATGATTTTCCGAGCACATGCCAGGTAGGTTTGTACAACTCCTCCATGTCCAGCTGCCATCGTTCGGGTTCCAAATACTTCATGACCTCCTCCACGGTGCCGAGACCTGCGACAGCCTCTGATAGCTCCTCAATGCCTTGCAGCGATGGAGAAGAAACTGCCGGAGTCTCATGCTCTGATATGATCTGTAGAAAAAGGGTCATTTGTACAGTAAATAATGGCAATAACAACAGAAAGATCCAATCATATGTGGATTCCTGGATTTTTTTGTCTCAACTGTTTGTAAAAATCTAACAAAAAATGATAATCTGAACAATCCGTCTGTTACTATAAGTACATAAGTAAGTACATCCACTCTTTCAAAAATGTTGTTATTTTGTGTAAGATACAAAGACAAAATGCAATGAATTATATATGTGATTTGAGCATTTCATGAAAGATTTGACATTGCGATGACATAGCAGAAACCAAGTAAAAAAAGCTGGAATGGGAAAACGAAAGGGCAAATGGTACTCAAAAGCACATCAAAAGCGTTTAAACTCTCAGATGTATACAGTATATATAAAAAGCAAAGAGCTGAGTCTAATCTTTTTAAAGTGCAAAGACGTTGAGAAAGCTGTCTTCAACAGCAAATAATCCTGCTTCATCAAAAGATTTGGAGAACTTGGACACAGCTTTGTGAACACATCTAAAAGTCAAAATATATGCTTATGATAATGGACAACACTGCATTGAAAACTAGCAGGATTTAAATGGAAACCAAGCAGGAATCTTTTCAGATATTTCTGTGTGAACATAGTGAAAATTTCCAGCCAAAAGTGCAGATCAATGGACGGTTGAAACAAAGAGGGAACGTTACACACTGGCAAATATAATCAGTTTTCATCCTTCGTGAAAGGATGAGCCAATATTCTTAATCAAATAGAAAACTGTCTTACTTCCAGGATTTCATATATTTACTGTGTTCTGTGAAAGAATAATTGGTTGATGAGATTATCAGAGCGTTCCCATTCTTTTGGATCTGGTGTTGATACTAAAGCCAACCTTTTTGGAAACACTAAAATCAGTTTTACACCATCAGGATTCTTACATTGCAGGCCCTTATATTTAAATGTGTAATTTTATGTCAAGTTAGAAATAACATAAAAGGATGTTACGTTGAGGAAGAAAATGAGTTGGTGGTAACAGCAGAAGCGTTTATCAAACCGCTGAAGAGTAAAAAGCTGGAAAGTCAAAGTACAGCCATGGTAAAAAATATTAGGCTTTAATTACACTTCTGGGTTTGTTTAGATATATCCATTCACTTAAAAGTTTTGGGAAAAGTATGCCCGCACGTTTGACTGTTTTACACTAATTTTCATTTGATTTGACTTTAACTATTTCCCAGAACTTAGTAGTAGCCACAGGAAATCTAACCATAAAGTCAACTCCAAGTGTCCCAACATTAATTACAAAAACTTCAGCAAACAAATTAGAAAAGACATAGTATTTTGAATAATGTGTCATAAATATGTACAGAAACACAGGAGAGCAAAGAACCAGGTATTGGACTAGTTGTAACTGATTAAGCTATGGCTCATGAGCGATTTCGCATTGTGAAACTTCCGTAAAGACAGTGATAATAATATAAAATCAACCAATTAATGGCTAACAAAGAAGATGAGATTATTTATGCAGCGTTTCCCAACTGTGGTCCTTGGGGCACGCGCTCTGCATGCTTTCCAAGTTTCCCAGCTCCAGCACAGCTGAATCAAATAACTGGGCCTTCATCGGCCCTCTGCAGAGCTTAAAGAGCCACAGAGCTGACCCACTTATTGGACTCCAGCGTGCTGGAGCAGGGAAACTTGGAAAACGTGCAGGGCGGTGCTCTTTGAGGAGCACGGTCGGGAAAACTTGATCCGATGGATCTGTTAGCGGCCTAAAAAAGCTAAGTCCAGGACTGATGCAGACAATAAAGACACGATCAAAACATGAAATAGAAATATTCTGATAACAACAAATAATAGCAGAATGCAACTCTAGTTTAAAGTTTAAGGAATATTGTTGTCTTTCTATATGTGTAGATTATCTAATATATCAGAATCAGAATCAGAAATACTTTAATAATCCCAGAGGGAAATTATTTTTGTTACTGGCTCCATAAATAAAACAGTGGCATATACATATATACATGTCTGTACATATATACATGTATATATATGTATATATATATATATATATATAGGTCAAAATAAGTGGTAGATAATGACAATAAAGATTAAGTTTGACTCTCAAACAACAACAACTAAAAAAAACGAAAGAAAAACGGGACTAGCTTTCCTAATGATTTCTTTAAATACAAAAGAAAAGAACAGCAGGCATCACGATTCCATTGGGACAGACTACATATGGTGCCTTAATGTATTCAAAATGTTCTCTGCTCTGACGCTGAGGGGCCAATGGGAATTAATAACGGAATTTTATTAAGCTGTCAAATGTGATTACATCTACACTGCTCACCTTGCATACCAAAATGTCCCCACAGTTCTGGTCGGTGACAGCGTTGTTTGTTTGAAGCGCTCCGCTCCGCAGGCATGCAACATGGAAGATTGATAGCCGGGTTATTGGTCCTCCCCCAGCAAAAGTGGCTAATCTGTTCAACGTTCCAGTGTTGTGACACTGCGTTTGTCCAACATGTCAGCTCTCGGGTCTGTCTAATCTCCGGTGACTGACAGGTGGAAGGCAACAATGTGACATTCACAAAGGAAAAGAAAAAGTCTTTAAAGCGCGGAAAATGTTGGCTTTTGGGAGCTGGATCTCTAAGCTTTGAGAGAGGTAGAAATGTGAGAAGAGAAGGTGATTGTAGGAATCTGTGTCTTCCTTTGTCTTACAAGGGAGAGTCAGAGAGGGATTTTCTTGAGTGGGTAGACTCGTGTTTCTTGCTGATTATTTCCTATAAAAGCCTGGAGAAATTGTTGTTCGAGACTATTTTAAAATCATCAATTGGGCTCTTTTGAATCAAAATATAAAGAAAGAGGGTAAGCTTAACACTTCTTTGTACACAGTACACAGACGATTTACTGTTAATGTACAGTTTATTTCAAACCAAGTGGACAAAATCTCATCAATGTCAAGTGAAATCTATTTCCACAACCACATAAAAAGAATCCATCACTGAGTTTTTGTCCAGCAGACACCATCGGCGTGCTCTGTGTGTATCATGCACCGTAGGTGAAGCTGATCAATAATACTTGGAGTTTGTATGATGGCAAATGGATTTCAAGGATCTTGAACATGTTTCACCTCTCATCTGAAGAAGCCTTTTCGTATCAGAGGTGAATTGATTCTCAAGATCCACAAATGAGTCTAGTTTCTCTTTTTAAGCTTTAAGAATTATCGGGACATTGATGATTGAGAATCTAATAAACTCCAATCATCAAGAGAGGAAGCAAATATCACAATGATTTTGATGCAGGCGGCACGGTGGTGTGGTGGTTAGCACTGTCGCCTCCCAGCAAGAGGGTTCTGGGTTCAAATCCCGGGGGAACCAGGACCTTTCTGGGTGGAGTTTGCATGTTCTCCCTGTGTCTGCGTGGGTTCTCTCCGGGTTCTCCGGCTTCCTCCCACAGTCCAAAAACCTGCATGTTAGGCTGATTGGAGATTGGGGAAATTGCCCTTAGGAGTGAATGTGAATGTGAGTGTGAGTGGTTGTTGGTCCTTGTGTGTCACTGTGTGGCCCTGCGATGGACTGGCGGACTGTCCAGGGTGTACCCTGCCTCTCGCCCGTTGACCACTGGGATAGGCTCCAGTTCCCCCCGCGACCCCATGAGGGAATAAGCGGTATTGATAATGGATGGATGGATGGATGGATTTTGATGCACTGAATATATTTATATATATATATATATTTATATATTGGATCTATATTTTTAAAGATTGTATTTTTCAGTTTTATCATTTCTGTCCTATATTTTTATTTCTACATTTTATTTTATTTTTTGCTTCTCATAAAAGTGTTGTGTTGTGCACCAAACACCAAGGCAAATTCCTTGTGAGTCTAAAAACCTACTTGGCAATAAACCTTATTCTGATTCTGATTCTGATTCTGATTCTGATAAAAAAAAAACATCATGTTAGAAAGTTAGACAAAAAGCTGAGATACGATTTTTGGATAGATTAAGCATATATACCCTACTCAGAATGAAGTCCCTTTGGCATAGATTTAAAAATAAGAAACCAATGGTGTGACATGACAGGCAGAATGAAGCTGATGCACAGCTGTGTTCGTGCTGGACAGTTGACTCACACTAACGATGTTGTGGTTGCACACATCCAGTAAATCAACTGAGATAAAGCGAATGCATTCTTAGAGGCACCCTTGAACCTATCCATCCATACACTTCCTATATCTGCTTTATAAAAGTCAATCCAGGAGCCGTAGACCTTGGACAGGTGACCGGTCCATTACAAGGCCACACAGAGCTGAACAAGCTACAGGAGAGTCCCATATGGACCTACGACCACGTTTTCGGGCATGGTTAGGGATTGGATGGAACCGAACTACTCGGGTAGAACATAAAAAGGGAGAACATTCAAATTTGAGACAGAAATTCAAACCATAAGCACTGTTTCTGTGAGGGGAGAGGGTGTTAACAACCACACCAGCGTGCAAAGGAGTATTTAAAGGGAAAATTACTGTTCCACATGGCAGCGCCGGTGATACCAAACCGAGCAGCTTTTTTTCAGACAACGGGGGTAAGATGTGATTCTTGTGAGGTGAGAATTGGCAGGAGCTGAAAGTGTCGACTGGAAAACATTACCAGCTTGTGAATATTGATGGGGCAACATTTTCCCAATTAGCAGCAATTCTGCGAGCTCGGCTTCAGATGGAAAAGCCAAGCGATTCTTCAGAGACACATCAAAAATGGTGCGAATACGGCTACCAGGAGCAGATGAGAGGGCCCGGGAAATGAATAACAACTTTGAGCAGCACTGACTTTGATGCAGTTATGGAGAGTTAAATATGAACAATGGAAGAAGGTCGACTTCAAGAAAGCGAGAGGGACGATATTAAACCATGGCCTGGATCAGATTGAGAAACAGGATGCTGAAATGACTTACATGTTGAGTTGGCAGATGTATCTTGAAGCAATGAGCCAGCAGATTAGTCTACATCTTGGTAACCCCCATAGCAACCAAATAGAGGACAGGAGAACGTGCAAGCCTGATCCTTTTGACTTTACAAAATGCTGACTCGGGCAAGAGATGCATTATACTTCATGTTTATATTGAATGGAAAGTTGATTTGCATTATCAGCGAACAGGATTTTTCCTGTGGTTAATTTATGTTTGGGATTTTTTGTGTAAGAGAACACACTTATTGCTCTTTTTAGGTTGCTATTTTTACATCACCAATATTCACAGCTCTAAAAAACAAAATAGCAATATCTATATATGAAGTTATTCTAAATCTTTCACTCCAGACAGAAACGTAAAAGGTCAAAGTGACATGAAACCTCAATCAAACTTGTTTTGGATCTATTCTGGATACTTTATAGAGTGGAATTCTGTGCCTTCAATTAAATTATGCAAATATATGTGGTAGAAGCATGGTGTGAAACCTCCCCTGGGTCTACCTGTGGTGAAATGGAAGTACATTTAAAAAAAGATCTGTTTTAAAAAGTGGATTTTATGTAACAGTCATCGTGCAACAGCCTGCCCCCCCTGCCCCTTAACAATAGCCTTGATTTCACGATGTGATTTCTTACTTCCCAGACGTCTTTGTTCCTGTAACACACAACCACACGATCTTATTCTTGGTAACTAAAATGACAGGTTTGATTACTATGTTGAGATGACCATTTTGAAATAGCATCTTGGGAGAGCTCTGCAAAACAATATCCACTCTTTTGCATGCAGTTGAAAACCACTTCCTTGCACAAGTGAACGTTAAGTAAGCTAAAGGTTTTTTGTGCGTCTTAAAAAACGGTCTTTTTGCTTACTACACACAATAATCTGCAATGAGAGGTAAAAAAGGACCTCAGTATCATGAAGACTTCTGACTCCACATAAACTATATTTTAACTGCCCCAATGGCTTCGTTTGAGTCTCTTTTTTACGCGCCCAAATTGTAGATTCAAAGTGATTTTAGATAAACACAAGTGTGTTACATCGTGTCTGTGTAAAACTCTCTGTGATCCACGAAAATAAACAGAACCGGTAAAACGGTCTTTCATGCCAAAGACGAGGTACGGTTCATTCTGAATGGAGACCCTGGCACACAGAGACAATGATGTATGTTTTGTTTGCTCCTTTAACCCGCAGGGCCCACCGCTCAACACCCGCCACGGTCCATTCAACAGGCTCCTTCTACTCTGTGTTTTAACAACCTCTTTGCCTCAGCCCTTTTTTCCCTTTTTCAAAAAAAAAATCTCTTCCTGTGAATTACAGACTGTGTCTTATTTTTTCCCCCCCTTTCCATTTCATGGAAGTGGTAGGGAGGAATCATTGCTTGTTTAAATATAAACCAAAGCACTGGCCCCTCCATGGCACGGGGTTCCAGTAGCTGCTGGTTGACCACAGAGGAAACAGAGTGCTGCTGTTGAAAAGAACTCCTCCTCTGTCAGACGGAGGTTCAAAGGGAAGACAGACTGATCGTGCGGAGCCCAGAGTTTCCCTTTCCCCTTCATGGTTTCCGCACCTTCTACAGTTGGAATACTAAAGATAAACTTGGTTTCTTGTTTCATTAAATGGTTTGTGGCAAGGCATCTGAGGACCACAGTAGAATCAGCTCATTCACCGAGAAAATGGAAGACATTAAAAATGTGGATTTCCAAACATCCACTATTTTGATATTGTATTACTACTTAAATATACACACACACATATACATGCTCAAAAAAAGTGCTGTTTTTTTTATGAAAGCTTTAAAAGCAATGGTTCAGATGTATCAGGATTTAGGTTCTTGGCTGTTCTCATTGCCAGCTCATCAGATATTGATGATTTTAAAATGTGTAGGGTTTTCTGAGATGATACAGTAACATTATCACCACAGAAATGTGAAAAATTCTGAAATGTTGTGTTGTTACGGTGTAATAACTGATTAAAATACTAGTAACGTAGTAAAATGCAAATCTTAATGATCAGTATTTATTATTATTATTTAATCTTTAATTTAATAAGCCACAGATTCCTAAAATCCTCAATCCTCAGAGTACTCGTTCAGTGATTCCTCCACCAATGAAACGGATGGGTAAACATAACAATGTAGAACACAAAATGTAACTATTTAACCAAGCAGATTTATGAAGGAACTATTACAGTGGTAAATTTAGGGAAATCCAACTTGTATAAAAGTTGTATAAAAAAATAAATAAAATTAATAGTCCTGCAAAGGCCTGGTCACCTGTCCAGGCCGGACCCCATCTCTCACTTAAAATGTATGGATGGACACATGAAAATTGCCATACGTGTGGTCTGGATTTGAACACAGTTCTCCAACCTCGCTCTGGTCTTTGTTCCTTTTGATAGTGTAATAGTTCAGAACAATGTTTTCCAGTCATCATTTACAATTGGCAAAGCCAGTGTGTTTTTTAGGTGATAAAGAGGTAGCCTACCCCTCAAACTCTAGATCGATTTCTTTCTAACAAAATAGAAAAGCTCTTCTGCTTAAATTTCTATTTAAATAAAAGTTCATTTTTTCCCCTACACTGCAAACACTGTTCTTGAACGTTGTTCTGATGTAAAAATCAAACCAACCTGTTGTCAGTGAAGCTTTCCTTCACAGCAGGGATTTTTAGGTTAAAGTGATCCCATGATGTTTCACTTTATTTTCAACTCTCAGAAATAAGGTACTTAGAACGTCTCACCATCAGAAACAAAGAGTCCATGGTTTTCCCAGCATAGTTCACAGTTTCTTGTCTAAATCTCCACAAACTAAATGTTATTCTGTGCTCAAATCAATAGTTTAACTTTAGGTTTTTCTGAGTTATTAAAGAACGCAATAACAAAGCACATGGAAATGACAGAATTCAAAGCGGAAAGAAAGTTTCAGAATAAATACAATGTAATCTCAGTTGGCACAAAGATGAATGAAGAGGACAGTTGTTTACTTAAAGCACTGCTGCGTGACAGAGGAAAACGTGGTGGCTGTCTCTTTAGTTTATCTCCGGGCTTTTGTCACCGACAGTGCAGGGACAAAGGGGATTGTGTTAGCATGTTACGGTGTGTGGTCCATCAATCAGGACGAAGTGAAACCCATAAAGTGACACAGAAAGATTAATACAAAGAGGGTATATAAAAACAAAGGATGACAGAATTACAACAGCATGGAAGTGGGTTCTTCCATTCTCTTCAGTCCATTGAGTTTGGATGTTTGTAAGTGGGCTCTCTTTGGAAGAAAATGTGCTGATTGTACTATTTCTTAGCTTTTAAATATTGAAATAACTGCACACAAACTGACAAAGTGGTCAGATGAAATAGTCCCTGTAGAAAGTGAGATTGCATCCAGACTTTTCTGGAAAGTGACAAAATGGAAAAAAGATTGTGGGGGTTTACTCAAAAGATACTCCAGAGCAGAATTTACATTTATGTGTGTGTTACTTTATGTAATGTGAAGGGGAAGGAACAAGAAAACGCAGATATTTGATGTTTGATGTAATGCTGCCAACACAAACAAAGAAAAGCAAAGCAAAACATTAACCGTAATCCCTGCTAACATCACAGAGACTTGAATGAATCCGCCCAAAGGTCATGGAAGCACTTTGGGAATGAAAAGCCACTTATTTTCCCCATTTCAGTCTTATCAACACCTCATTTTCACCTGGCAGGAGCCTCTGACAAAATATGATCAGTTATATGTCTCTACCAAAGCTACCAAAACAAAGGCAAAAACATCTGAGATCATGAAAACACTTGAAATAAATATACGTTTGGTCTGTTGAGTGCAGCTGATCTACATCAGGCTCATAAAAAAACAAAAAAAGTCAAAGATTTGACATATTTCCGTGCATCTTGTACTCTATTTTGTTGTTTGTGCGTACAGTACCTCCACAGCCGTAATAAATGACAACACTGCTGCTGGGTTTTTCACTGTACTTAAACATCATTTTACCCCAGTGATGTTTAAAACCTCTGGCACACGTGAGCTGCAATGGATTAAGGCAAATTAACACACCATGTGGTGCAGAGAAAAATGTATTCTAATGGCGGTTAAACAGGCCGGCATTGCTTATTGCCGTGTGAATTCCCCGCTTGGTCATAGAAACATAAAACGCCACGACAGCCAAATCTTTATGAACTGTAATTGCGCTCATTTTTCAGCCGCTCGCTATGTAGCCTACGTACCTCAGGCAGGAGGGAGTAGTGGATGCAGAATCCCGGCTCTGAGGGGAAATACTCATCAGAAGTGAAGCGAACGATGACCTGATTTCCTTTGGAGGTGTGACCTGCTGGTGCTGACTGTGACCCACACCAGCGACCCAGGAGTGTCTTTTCGTTTGGATCCTCTATTTCCACAAAGTCGTACCTTGTATTAGGAGACAGAGAAACAGCAGAAAATGATCATTCTTATTGCATGACGCATAGTTTTGGGGGCTATTTATTGAAAATGAGTAGAATCGGTCATTTATTATTTTAGGAAAACCGAAGAACACGTACAGATGCTACATGTTGTCACTGGAATTTGTTTTTTAATTAATCAATGGGAATACATCATTCTATCTTTTAATGCTTTTTATATTTTAGAATGATTTAACTTGACTTTGGCATGAACAGAAAATAACATGACCTCTAAAATGACATGTTTTCCAATTTTTCATCTCTTGTGATCATTTGTTGTGTGAATGGTATTTCATTCTCATCTTTTTCTTTGAGCTTAGAGACGAGTTGGGACTGAGCCTCAGAGAATTAAATGACTGTATATTTCTGGCTGGAGAAAAATTTGCTATTGAACGGCGCAAGGATAAAATCTGGATAAATCCACACATTTAGTAAATACCTTACTTCAAATGGACTTTCAAATGTTGTGAAAATGATAGAAATTACTTCTTTTTTAAACTTTGTGATGCAGTAATTATGTGAAAGTCCCTCTCGGCTAGCCAACTTGCTGGTCATATAAACATTATGAAGTGTGCAGGCACTTTGCCACGCTCCAGGCTCTTTTAGTGGGCCAGTGCTAACAATGACCAGCCTCAGGATTTAAGCCAGCCTTTTCAGGAGTTCATTTTTACCTGCTTTTAGACTGCGCTGTGTTCAGTACGGCCTTGTTTCACAGTCTGGGGTTAATCACTTTGAACGCAGGACTCTCACTCACTGCTGCCAATTCAGATATATGAGTTTCAAAGCCATTGTTTACCTTTTGCACTAGCTTGACAGATTCAGCTCAATATGGGTTCTATAAAACAACATTGAAGGACATGAGAATTCCCAAAAGTGGATTTTCTGTGATGTTGAATAAACCGGATCTATGGGAAGGGGGAATAAATGTTTAAACTTTCTGCCTTTGACATATGAATTTATACAGGACGTCTGTTGTCCGCACGAACTAACCTATTGGTAAGATAATATGCAACACAGCATATAGGAATCACAACAATACAGATAACTACAGAACATGGCATTATTAATTTTTAATTCAAAGCTTCTATTAGTTAGCTTCTCTCAGGTGTTCTGGATGGAGTTTGGAAAAACGGAATTCTCTTCCCTAAAACTTGTCATACAGACAACAGTGGAGCTTTGACAGATGGCTCATCAATAATTCAGGATGCCCCGATCATTACACATCACCATATGTTCACATTTGCCATGGCGAACAGTGGTTTTTCAGATTAACAAATGCAGTGACATACATACCAGAACAGATACAGTGAACAGGAGGAAAGTGGATCATTCTCATGTATTTAAGTCGGAGTACCTCTATGCAAACAGCACAGAATGCGGTTTTAATATTCATAAAGCTTTATCCTTCATAATTCTATCCTTGTAGATCATTAAAAATGCACTATTTGCCGTAAGGTCGACGCAGATTAGCAGCACAAACACATTTTTGTAGTACCCTCTTTTCAGAAATGAGACTGAGAGCATAAACGCCTTTTAGAAAGAAAAAAAAACAAACAAAAAAAAAACACCCTGTCTGTGAACCGCCAAGCACGACTCTGCTGCCATGCCAACCAGCAGCAAGACCAATCCCTTTCCAATATGCCTCTCCTCCAGTGGATTTGGTAAGAATGCTTTTCATCGTGCCTCAGACAAACAGAATAGCAGATGAGCATCTCAGCTATAGAGCCTCTTTCTCATTTCAGCAAAGATTTCTCGATCCAGGCTCGCAAACCGGAGCTGAACACATATCCCCCCTTTTGTTTTGTTTTTATCCACTGCCTTTGTTCACAATCACTGGATGGGACTCTACTGTTTTGTTTATTTGAATATATATTGAATCATATAGTACGGGACTAAGGCAGGATTTAAATTAAACTACCATTCTATATATATTTTTAAAATAATGGCAGAAAAATCGAGGTCTGAAGGGAAATTCTGCAGATGCATTTTTTTAATCGCACAAAGCAGAAGTTGCAGAATAAGCCAGGGAGCTGGTGAGCGTTTGAGTGAGAGAAAAAGGGGAGCCGAGTGGGTTGGATTTGAGAATATGCCTCTCTGCTTGTGACTGCACGCTGTATTCATCTACCTGTCAACGCTGCCCAGAAATGTGTATCTTGGGATCTGACCAAAAACCTGTTGGGCTCTGGTTTGGCGAGTGTGGGTGGGGATGAAAAATGCTACATAACTGGAGCATTAGATGCGGGGCTGACTTTCCTGACCCTGGAAAAGGATGTTGTTATTGTCTTTTCCTCCCTCTTTGAGGTCTCTCAAACAGGGTGTAGTCGTTTAAATGCAGGAAAGCAGAAAAAAAAAACTGTCCGTCTGCACCCTGCCCCACGGTGCAACTTTCCCCTCACAGGGTTTTGACAAAAAATGTCAACCTCATTCATTAACAATCACCTGGCACTCGATTGCTTGTGTTCACACACCGTTTAAGTTTAACGTAGAGCGCCGGAGACCCGAAACACCTCATTGATTGGTTGTCCACTAAACTTTTTTTTTTTCCTTTTTTTTTTTCCGAATATGCTAAAAGACATATATTGAGCCTGTGTTTCTACATCAAACATCAGCTCAGTGCTCTAAAGACAGGTGCAGTTTCACTCGTCATCCATTAGGGGGCTCTCTAGGAATGAGTACCGAGATTACCCTCCCCCTGATCTTATTTGCCTCCCCTCTTTGGGCTCCCCCATGCCAAACAGCCACTCGTTATAAATTGACAGGAAGATACTGAGCATAATGCGCTGAGAGTCGATCAATCGCTGGGGCTTGGGATCCCCTTTTAAACCGAATGACAAAAGAGGAGGGCCCTGGCAGTAATTGAAAGTGGGACTATTACTTTAAGCGAGGATGTACTGTGCTTAGGATCTGTTGGTCTTTACGTGCAGCAGTTCAGAGATGTGGAACATGCTATTTAAACTGTCCGTAAGGGGCTAAAAATATTGACTCCATCCCGTATGTTGCTACCACTAACGTCAGCGTTGTGTCCCGGGCTAAACAAATCACTTTGCTTCCTGGTTTTGATATTCATGAGCTGTCAACGTGGCCCGAAGCAATTTTGCAAATGGCCACAGTCCGGTTCTAAATCTTTACATTATCTTACCTGCGATCAACATGTATCTGGCATGGCAGCAGGGAAAGCCCCCATCTGCTGAGGGCCAGCCAAGATGGCAGATGAATGGTTTGCCGATTATTACTTATGGCTGCTGTACAAGGTTATCCTGTCTAGTAAGGTAAAACCATATTTGTTTAATCTCTATCTTAAACAAAAGGGCATTTAGGTTTCGGTTGACTTAATCCTTAAATTGGATTAGAGATCAATTATTGGTTATCGAACTACAAATATTAACATTTTGGTTTAATCTGCTCTGAAAGATGAATGAAAATGAATTTCCTCTTACTTGCATATTCCATCTTCAGGGTCCTCCAGTCCAAATCTCTCATCAAATGTGAGCTGGATCCTCATGTTGGTGGCGGCCACTAGTCTCCAGACTAACATGCTATTCCTGGGATAGGTGTGAGGGAAGTCGGGGCTGTGCAGCATTCCTTCTCCAGACACACTTATAACTTTTTCATGAACGGAATCTTGCACTCCTGAAAAACAGATAAAACCAAAAAAAAAGTAAGCGTAAAAGTTTTGTGTTTTAAGCTTTTTATAAATTGTGCCCAAGTTTAATTGAGAGACTAAAACAAATACACAGTTAATATCTTTATATAATAACGACTGAAAGTGAGAAAATGTTAGATTTATCATTTAAAGCATGAAAATGTCAAATGCTATTGTAACACATAGAGTGAAATATTGACCAGATGTTCAATATTTAAGTTAGACTTCAAAGAAGTAACATTAGACAAATGTTTAGTTGTTTTATTGTGTGTTTTATTATCTAATAGGTCATTTAGGTTGAGAAACATTAGGATATCTGATTCCTACTCACATGTATTACCAATTTTTTTTTCAGTCTTTCTACTTTGTTGAAATAAATGGTAGAAAGTGCCAAATAAAACATATTAAAACCATTGAAAACATATTTACACATTTTGGAAATAAGACAACTGTATGAATCATTATCATTAACATCTATATATAACATTTATGTATATTGCCATTTAGGCATATTATGACTATGCGTTATAACAACAATCTCCATGTAAAAAAACAACAAAAAACAACTGGTGATGAGATGCACAAAGCAGCCATCAGTGCCCATGCAGAGACCAGTGGCTGTGGGGTTTTAATCACAGGAATGAAGCTTGTCACTCAGTCCCTCCGGGCTCCACGAGACCTTGTCACCTTCAGATAAAAAAATGACTAGTGTATCTCCACCTGGGCCTCACACTCAATGTGAGTGTCAACACTCAGTAGCCTTTTTGACCGCGAGGGAACTGTGAAATCATCCGGTCATTTCCTGTTACATCCTGTTTTTTTCCTTCAACGTGTTGTAATTACCTTATACTGTTGTAATCTGCAGATGCTAACATTTTAAAGAGTAATTAGTGTTTTCTCCCAGTACTGGTTTCTTACACAAGCTCTGGCCTTTGTGTACATTTTTATTCTTTCTTTGCCCTGTTTATAGACTAAGATATTGCCAGTGGTTCTCTATTTTTACCCATTGTTGACTTGCCTGGATTAAATCCAAAGGATGCTAAATGGTTGTAGCTTGGGAATTTTACATATTAGTTCACATTAGGTTAACACCACATGCCTGATCAACGCTGAATCCCAGTTCATTCTACAAGTCTTTTTCCTTCTTTTTCCCAATTCAGACAACCCCTGTCCTCACACAGTGTTGTATTTATATGTTGTACAGCCTTTACATCATGTCACCTCGTCCCAACTCTCCCCGTCTGCAGGTCCTCACTGACAGCTCGCCTACGTGGAGTTTTTTTTTTTTTCGTGCAGGCATGTGTACATAAGGAGAGCAAGCACTGAGTGTCTAAGGCAGCTTTTCAGCATGTGGAATGCACTTTTGGTGAGGTTAGATTAGCTGCTTTTCCCTTTAAGCTAAGCATGGCTTAGCCTGCCATGAAAATATGCATTGAATGTAGAATTGTAATCGATACTGATACTTCCAACATGACACTTTTGAGATGTCAAATAAGGTTATATCAAATACAAAACGTCCTAATTCAACAACATCTTCCTGCTGATGCCACAACAGACAACTGTGTTCTGAAGTGCTGCCAATTTTTTGTATTTGACAGGAATCCATTATAGTTCCACATTAAGGTGTAGTTAACACTACAATGCCTTGTTTCGCTTAAAAGGATCCATCAACAGAGCTGTACTGTAATATCAACTGTAGCTCAAAATCTTGTTTGCATCAGCACGCTGTATTGAAATATTTATGATATTTGTTCTCAGAGTCTGTACGGATAAATTTATCCCATCCCCAGTCAGTCATCAGTGGATTTAAGCCTATTTATTTTTATAGCGCTGATGAACATTTTGTATTCAGGACCCAGTCTAACACACCAGAGAACAGGGGTTTAATGTGTGAAGGTAATGCTGTGTCGTGCTCCAACTTCAATGTGCTAAATAGATGAGCCAGTTTAGAGATATAGATTTTAACACATTTTGATCTGATAAATCCTCATTTCGGATAAACCAGATTTAATACCGTCATTCATTCCCTGCAGGCTGATTCCTTTTTTTATCAGAAGAAAAAATTAAATATGCAGGTTAAGCTTGTGTCATGTAATTAGTCTGTCTAAAGTCAAATAACAGTCATAACAAAGTTTCTGAGGACAGTTCCAGACAAGATAAATGGATATATTTGCCTTCTCTTGATCACAGATACAGTTCATTCATTCAGTCACAAAGAATCCTTCGCAAATAGAAACATGTAGAAACTCTAATTAACCCTTTTTCAGTGTGCACAGAGTGGCGTAGAGGGAAAGGCACCGGAATGAAGGAGCCCAAACTTCCAGATGAGATGTACTCGATTCCATTACGTCAGTATACACTTAAGACTGATGTTGCTTTGGGCCCTTAAGTAGCACCACATTGTACTGTATACACATGTTACTGATATATAGATACTGATTTTTTAAATATACCATAACCTCGTAGATTCAAAACAGAAAAAGCAAACAAACAAAAATTGAAAGAATGCTTAAATGAAAATATAAAAAAGGGCCGGTTCCTTTCTCATTGCAGCAATGACTTTGATGTTTTCATTTCGGTTTGGTGGTGAGCCAGGTGGGAACTGAATGAATGACGGTGTGCCAGATGCAAAGGAAAACAAAGCCGGGCCTGACTTCTCAAAGACCAGGTTCTTTCATAAGTGTGTGAAGAGTATGGCCTCAGTTACAGGCAGTCTCACCGAACACCGACCACTGTATTTGGAAAATAAATCACTTGAAGGGTTGCAAATTTGCATACATTTTTTTTTGTACTAAATTTGTTTCAAAGAAAAAATAACAGGGCCAAGCAAATTTCAATGAGTTAACAAAGGCGTGATTCTCTTTTGCTGTTAATGTATTTCAATCTATACTACTTAATGATGTCTATTCTTTTTCCTTTCTTTTTTTTAACCATGCTTCGAGTAGTTCCAACATATTATGTTGGATTGACTGCTTTTGTATCCATTTGCTGACTCAGGAGAAAAAAAAGCCGATAGCTTTCATGCTATTAAAGCCTGACCCTCTATCACAATGACATGTCTTTAATTACATAGCCCTTTATTGTTGGCCAAAACATTCAAACTCATAAAATACTTCATGACTTATGTTAAGACATATGTATGATTCTTTAAAGCGTAACTCCAGATGTATTTGTTACATTTGGTGTACATATGGCATTGATAAGACGTTACCAGAAAGTAGTCCGGTATATGATTCTTTCCTTAGAAAAATCTATTTAATATTGACAAGAATGTCTCCTCATTAAAACTTTAAGAATGTGAAAGGTTAAAGCGAAAACATGTCCGTACTACCAGAAGATAAAAGGGAAAACAAAGGAAAAAAAAGGCCTTGACATGAAGGTATTAGGTTGTGATGAAAAGGTATTCTGGAGATAAAATCACACTTAATCCAAAAAGTCTGCTAATATTCAGTTTAATCCTTACACACTCATCACAAGTTATTGCTACAGGTGAGGAAACAATGTGTTTGAATTCCTCCTTGGCTCGGGTCTTTGTGCACAAAGCTCAAAATGAAATATCAACGGGATTCTTCACTGTGGATCTTTTGTTCACTTGCATCAAAGCAGAAAGTCATAAAGAGTGACCTCTTTCATAGAACAGTTTCTTAAATCCAACACATTAAAGCATAAAATGCAAGGTCAAAAAACATCTCGTGTTATATAAAAGTAATGTTACCTTTTTATGTGTTTATCGCCTTCATATTTTTGATTTACCCTCCGTGCACTGCAAAATCCTTTGACCTAATACCATTTAGGCTAGATTGGGTGTAACTTTGACTGAAATATGACCTCACTCTTAGGGTTAACCCGTGTCATCCAATGATCAGAGACGTGGTCCCCTCGAGTGAATTACCTCAAACATGACTTTTCCTTGACCTACTTTTTTTTTCCTCCCTCTGTAAGGAAAGTAGAGCCGACTATTAAGGGAGGAAGTGACTCTGAATAAATAGGAGCCTATACAGTGAAGCCATTGTGCTTTGTTCACACATTAGTGGTTGAGCCAATCATGCTGTTAAACATTAACCTTTCCCCTGCCAAAACAAAACCGGAATGTGCATGCAGAGCATCGTGTATGTGCACGTTGAACCATTGCTGATAATCGTGAACATATTAACTTATGCAATGCAGGGCTCCCTTCCTATTAGACATATATTCAAGCGAGCACAGCGATATAGTTGCATGCACACCTATATGTCGCTATGATCTGTTTCCAAACAGCTTATTGAGAAAAAAAATGACAGAAACATTTTTAAAAAGTCAAAGTATAGATGTCTTTAGTCTGTTTTCCCACCAGCTACATGCATCAGCGATAACCGCTCGTGACAGGTATTTCCTGTTCACTAATCGACAGCATGCCACTAAATTCAAATTGCTTTTTAAAATCAGCCGTGTTACCCGCTGATCAAACTGAATGGGAGCTCCTGAGCTTTCGCTTAGATGATGAAACTGTACCCAACAAAGATCTGCCTTCTTTTCGAGCATGTGTTTCCTTCCCGATGCAATCATTCCGGCATCTGTGGCTTATTAGGGCCATGTAGCGGTTACTACAGGTGCAGTAAATTCCCAACCATGCTTAGGATATTTATTGCTTTTGGGTCTGCAGCAGGTCAGGCAAAAAGGGAGCTGCAACACGCCATGGGAACCTTTTATGCCATTAGAAAAATAATTTGGCTACATGGGACCCTTCCGTAGCTATTTGATCTGCCTGACATATGTTCCTGTGCGTGTAACCGGAGGCTAACACGGCTAGTAGAAAGAATGCCTGGAAATTGTGCTGAAATAGGGGTGAAAATAAAGCACAGTACATAATCCTCTGGAAAAAAGATTCATTTTCAACTCTAAAATTAATCATCTTTATGTGGTGCCCAGTGAGAAAGACAATTTAGATTTGGTAACATTCCTTGTATGAATAAAATAAAATAAAATAAGTTTAGTATAATTGGCACCA